TGCCAGCCTATCAATTCAAGCTCGGAGTCTATGAAGCAGCCATTCAGCGTTTTGTGATCGGCCGTTGTTGGTGTGTGTTGAGGCTACGAGTGGCAGCCATTTTTGACGTGATGCTGAAATACACTTTTAAAAGGAGTTCCTTTTTGAGGACGCGATTGGACTCATGAAGGGCACTTTCACACCAAGTACTTTTGCCCGACGGAATTATATTAGCTTACCCGGAACTAGTTCGTTCCCCGTAAATCTTTAGTTCCGGAACTATCTAGTAGATCGCGTTCACACCTGAATAAGTCCATGACGGAGGATTACGCAAATGAAGCCGCTGACGTCACTTCTTCTTCTTCTGCTTTGGGTTTACTGGCAGGCCGCAAACAACTTCACGGCGTATACTGCCACCCGAAGTCCCCGGCCGNCAGAAATTGGAACATTTTTCTCCCCAGGAAAGTACCACCTCTCTCGCAGGGACTGAAAAGGGGTGAAAAGGTTTGCGCAAACTAAGTTGTAGTTCCAGATCTTTTTGGTGTGAACGCAAAATCCCAGGAACTATCGGAGCTATTCCTGGGAAAAGTACTCCGGTGTGAAGCGCCTATGGTCTCCTCTGTGCCCCCATGGCAGCTCTGGAATTTGTGACAAAGTAGAACATTTGTAGTCATATACAAAGCAGTTGCAAGTCTCCAAAATGTACAGGCATGAACATATCTACTACATTTCCAGCTTGACGGTCCACAATGCGTAGTTGGGAGACCTCTTTTTGGTATATATTCACTTTGTTAGCTTTAGCTAGCTGTAAACTAGCTTTAACGCAGTTTGGCAACTTTGCAGTGAAAGATGGTCAAAAAATGTAAAGCAGAGGCTTTATTTTTCGTAAGCTGCAAACACAAACAGTGTTTTTCATATATTGTCTTACTGGAACTCTGAGTTAAACACTTTTCTGCAAACTCACTAGCTGAATAACAGCATATTATACTGAGTCTTTCCCTATACAAAGCAATGTCCCATAGCTTACACTTTTACCCACAATGCCACACACTTTTAACTCTAGAGACCAACAGTAGCCAAGTATGTCAAATGTGTCAAAACTGACTCCAACAGTGTGGCGTGCCTGGCAGGAGGCTTTGTCTCACACTGACTAATAGAGTTGTAAATAATTAATTTGTACTTAGCTCAGCATGTTGCTATAGCATAGTTGTCCTTTAAAATTCAAACCTTCCTCATAATAGTTATAATAATTATCTTGCCGTGCGGAGGGAACATGTGGAGCTTTACTCTTATATGTTTCCTAATGACAGAAAATCATTTGCGGCATATTAAAATAAAATAATAGGTGTTCATAGTGGTGAGTAAGCTGTGGTGGTTTCAAATAGCTTTTTTAATTAGCAGCTTACAATATGATTGACCTTATTTGGACACCGTTCTTTTTTTTTGTAAAATTGGATTGGGGGAATTAAGTGCTAAGTGGCAAAGGACATTTGTTTTTACATTAGCACTCACAATAAATGACTGTTTAAATTGTATTTAAATGTCCTTTTATATTGTGTTGATGCCTTTTGTGATCAATGTAATGGTCTTTGAATTGCCATGTTGCCAGAATAACAGACTTTCAACCAAATGGGCTTTTGGTTCAACAGGAATTTGTTTACACTACTGGGGTTTCGTAATCAAGGGCAGTCAGAACGATGGCATAACACTAGGGGTACTAACACATATTCTATAATACTTTATAGGAGAGTAGTTCCATGCAATTTGAGATTCAGTTTTTCCCCATTGTATACCAAACACATCTAATGGTGTGGTATCCGCTTTACAGAGATCTAAGACCCATATGGATGGGATTTTTTTTTAATCGTGTTTTGGAAGAATGCTATGTTCTGTGCTTTAGTTGCTGCAAACAGATGATTACTCAGCTGTCACTATCTGCACCCAACCCCAATTGCAAAGGATCTGCAAAGGCTTAAGGTCTAGGCATGAGCATTTACCAACAAAGTGACATCACTACGTAACACTTGCACTTCTATTAGCTAGCACTCCACAACAGTGTACGTGATAGGCTAAGGGGCGGGACATCTCTAAGTGGAAGACCAATCACAGCGGAGCCATTCAGCTAAACCAATCAGAGCAGACTGGGGTTTTGGTTGAACTTCAGCCCTCTGTAAACAAATGCACGCTCATTAATTTAATTGAGGCCAGTTTGTCAATCAGTCGGGATGCAACCACTTGGGAAGGCACTGACTAGTGATGTCAGGGTGGTCTGACAATGGTCTGACTTATATGAGTCGCTCTTGAGGTCAGTTACAAAGGATTTTGCTTTATCATTTAATTTGGAGGACTTCAGTATATGTATTACATTGTTGTCATGGATTGCATGGAGACACCAATAACGGCATTTTAATGCAAAATGTGTCAATCAAGTTTTAAAGTTGTGTGGACAACAAAATGAATATATCAGACACAAGTCATAACCAATCAACAAAGTACCACATTTCCCTAATTGTTCCTATGTTAATGTCCAAAAATATGAAATAATAACTTAAAATGGTAAAGGTTATTGGAGAAGAATTAAGATATCTAAAAAGAATATTCAAGCTAAGTTTTCCCTCTGGATCAAAAAGCAACAAATATAAAGGACATTATATAGTAAGTTAGAAAGTCATGAATATGCAAATAACCGTCAGAACTACTAATGTAGCGGTGCTGGGGTTTAGATGGGGACTCAACCCTGTTGATATCTATCTGTAGTTGTTAGGGCAGAGTTACTGTAAGCTGTTCAGCGGAGCTAGTCAGAGATGAGTCACAGAGCTTCAGTTCACTGATCAACACCTCCGCCTCAGCCCCCTGGCACAGCTTGACACACATACACACCCTGGTGTCAATCTGTCAGAAACAAATGGGGTGAGGTGGAGATTGTGCAGCGCTGGCAAAGACAACCTCAGCCTGCACCCGCTGAGTGTACCCATATCCCCCTACTGCGCAGACATGGCAGATATCTTTTTATCTATTGAACTATATAGGTAATATTGTACAGATGCATGTTTTCTTATACAGTATACAATCATTGAACATAGCTGTTATACTGAGGCATTTACTGGATCATGTCTTACTCAGGAGGAAGTAACATTCCCAACTTTTATTTTTCCTAGTGTGGATATTCAGTTGGGAATTGAAAGGAACATTTTAGGAAATACACTTGTTTGTGGTGGTTTTTTGCCTAGGGATCGATGAGTGGTTTTGCCCCAGCGCCATATAGACTGAGAGTTACGTCATCTCCGTTCACTCCAATGGACCACTTTTTTACAGCAATGGCGGATCGTGGAGCCTCTCAATCGTTCCCCGGAAGTTAGCGCCAAGGCTAGCAGAGCTGTAGAGTTGCAGCATAATAGACCGTTTGTGACGGACTTTTAAAGGTAAGAAGAAGTTTAAAGATGTATATTGCGGATATTATCAGTACATCTGATTCAAATTAACATGTGTATTAAAGGATGTCAGTGGATTATCCCTAAATTGGTAGATTTAGGGAACGTTTACAGATAACAGATTAAGCTAGGATACCATACCATAGTAGCATACACTATAATACCATAGTGGTTGAATACACAGTATTAGGAAACACTTTATACTTACTGGACATGTTATACTCATTACATACTGTATATAAAATATGACCAAGAATGTGAGACAACTTTATAGATATTCATATCACATCTGTTACTGATGCCATTTGTCATACTTTGTTAAACTCACAAATAATAAAGTTCCATAACTTCAGTTGGGAACAAAGACCACACCTTATCTCCCCAAGGTAATTTCCCATCCAATAGGTGTGCTATATAGGTGTGTATAACCCTTTCTCCTGTCTGTTACTCCCTCTTTCAGCACAAAAACCAGAGGGGGATTCAATGGAGCCTGAATACCTGCACTGAGACCCTCACCCTGCACCCTGAGTCTCAACTCTGTGTTTTTCAAGCCTTTCCCTGTTTTTTTGTATTAAACAAAACATTAAGCTTTCCCAATGGTGTGGTTTTCGTTTTGTGAAAAAGTGCAAATGCAGTGTTTGTATATAATAACCTAACATATTTTTTTGCTGTTGGTCGTGAAATTGCTCCTGCTGACTGGAGCCAGCCATTTTTTCCTCCGCTCTGTGTCAGTGGGGAAGCCGTACATTCGTACTCCTTTCTCTGAGCGATTTGAGCATCCCCAGGCAGCACAGCAAACCATGGTGGCGACTAGGAGGCAGCACAGCAAACCAGG